TGGTGGTAATTCCACGATGGTGGTAATTCTACAATGGTGGTAATTCCACGATGGTGGTAATTCTACAATGGTGGTAATTCTACAATGGTGGTAATTCCACGATGGTGGTAATTCCAGGCTAATGGTAATTCTACGCTAGTGGTAATTCTACAATGGTGGTAATTCTACAATGGTGGTAATTCCACGATGGTGGTAATTCTACAATGGTGGTAATTCCACGATGGTGGTAATTCTACAATGGTGGTAATTCTACAATGGTGGTAATTCCACGATGGTGGTAATTCCAGGCTAATGGTAATTCTACGCTAGCGGTAATTCTACAATGGTGGTAATTCTACGATGGTGGTAATTCTACGATGGTGGTAATCCCACGATGGTGGTAATTCTACAATAGTGGTAATTCTACGATGGTGGTAATTCCACGATGGTGGTAATTCCACCATGGTGGTAATTCCACAATGGTGGTAATTCCACCATCGTCTGTAACGGGTTTGGGAGTCACCCCTAGACCATCGTCGAACATTTGAGGAGCTTCTTCCCTGTCTCATAAAGACCGCTCGAGTGCCATAACTCTGCAGCCGTCTGGAACGTTCTCTTCCTTCCAATATTAGGTAAGCGACGGGATCTGTGTACTTTTAGTTCAATAGTTTTAGTGGGTGATCTAAATTGGAATTGGCTAAACCCGCCGGCCGTGGCCACAAATTTTGCAGATGAATTTAATCTGGTTAAATTAATAAATGTCCCCACAAGACCCAACCTAAAAAAAATCCGGGACAGTCATCTCTGCTTGACGTCCTATTGACAAATACCCCTCACAATTTCACACTGACTGGTGTTCTGGGTAATAACCTTAGTGATCACTCCTTTATTTTTGGGGTGAGATCATCAGCCAGACCCAAAGCCCCCCCCTAAATTGGTTTAGAAGCACTCTATGAGACACTTCAGCACTCAGGCATTTACTAATGATGTGCTTCACTCGGATATTGACAAGGTCTGTGATATCCCCAACCTGACTACGGCTTGGGAGACCTTCAGGTACACGTTTCTCCAAATTCTTAACAAACATGCTCCGTTGGTTAGATTTAAAACTAAAGGCAACCGCCCACCATGGTTTGAGCCTTTGATTACAAAGCTCATGAAAACTAGGGACAAGGCTTGGGCATGTGCTCAGAATAGTAATTTGGTCAGTGACTGGCTAGAATACAGGATTTTAAGGAATAGATGCATCAAAAAAATACGGCATGCAAAAAATGCCTACTTTTCCTCCACTCTCCTGGAATCACATGGAAATGCCAGAATTTTCTGGAAAACAATAAAATGTATTGAAAAGGCATCCAAAACAGACAATCTGCCCGTTGAGCTTAACCGAAATGGGGAATATTTTTCAGATCCCAAAAAAATAGTTGACAATTTTAACCTTTAATTTTTCTGAAGCTGGTAATCTTTTTGATAATGTATTGGGAGTCACCCCTGCTCATGCAAATTCCTACACCCCTGTCCAAACATTAAACGAATTTAGTTTCCAGCCAATCCACGAAAGTAATGTTCTGAAACAACTGTCCTACCTCAAAGGGTCCTCCTCTTCCGGAGCAGATGGTATTCCCGTCTTTGCTCTTCTAACTGTTGGTCACCTAATATACAAACCTATAGCCCATATTTTCAACCTGTCCATCAAAGAAGCATCAGTTCCTCTAGAATGGAAAATTCCTATGTCCGTCCACTTCACAAATGGGGCCCTAAAGATGATCCAAATAACTACCGACCTATCTCAATTTTGTCCCCGTTGATGTGTTTTTTTAATTATTGACCTACCAAATTAGCAGTTTCCTGTCCAAAGCTTTTGATACAGTAGACCACAACACCCTGCTTAGTAAACTAAGTGGCCTCGGTTTTTTCCAAAATCGCAGTAAAATGGTTACAAAATTACCTCTTTTCACGCACCCAAACTGTATTCACAGGTGGTTGCAGGTCAAACAGTGTAAAGATAATAAAAGGGGCTCCACAGCGTTCCATCCACGGCCCCCTCTTGTTCTCTCTTTATGTCAATGACTTGGGCACTGACCTGGATCATTCCAGGGTAAATCTACTTGCAGATGACACGATACTGACTACTGCTGGCCGCTATCTGGATGACGTGATTGCTAAGCTACAGGGTGATTTCAACAAACTACACCATCAGCTAGTTGCTCTTAAACTAGTCCTGAATGCCTCCAGAACCAAGGTGCTATTCTTCTAACCAGGACTAAAGCAGGAAGTTATTTTCCCCCAATTACATTCCTTATATAATTATCAAATAGAGCAAGTCAAGATCTATAAGTATCTTGGGGTCATCCTGGATTCAAAACTGAATTTTGAAGATCACATTGATTATATTGGTAAAAAGACAAAAATAAAAATTGTTTTTTTGTATCGACACAAGCACTGCTTCCCCCCAATGTTCCGTTTGGAATTGATAAAAGCTACCATACTGCCTCTACTTGACTACTGTGACATCGTGAATAAATCAGCCCCAAGTGCTGTACTGAAGAAGCTTGATTCCATATATCACTCGGCCTTAAGATTTACATTGAACTGCCCAGATAGGACTCACCACTGTGATCTCTACATTGGGTCAAACTTAACATCTCTTAATGTTCGACGGCTTGTGCACCAGATCTTATTTATTCACGATGTACTTACAAAAAAATCCGCAGACCACCTGCTGCTGGATCTCCTCTCTGTTTCAAAGAACAAATTTGACCTCAGGTCTTCGCTCATTTACCAGCTTCACATTCCCTATTGCCGTACAAAAACTGGAGGAAGGTCCTTTGCTATTGATGCCCCCAGGGTCTGGAATCCTATTGCAAATAAACTAAAACTTGAATCGCTACCAATGAGATCTTCTCTCTAAACTGCACTAGAGGAGTTGTACACCCCTAGCTGCCACTGCTATTCATTGGCGTAAAATAAAATAAAATGTTTCGCTCCGGATGACGCTGCAAAGTATTATCTGTATTTTGATTTAGCGTGCTGATCTTAAAGGTGCATTGAAAAATTTGATACTCCGACTGATGCTTCTGTTGTTGTGGAGTAACTCATGCAGCCAGCTATGGCTCGAGGATTTGGTGTTACATGTTATTATTTATGTAGTTTATTGTAAAAATTCGGTCACAGTCCCTGTGATCACTGTTACGTTGCAATTATGGCTTTATTTTTTGGTGATTTCGAAAAGTTTTTTGGTTTGGACATGTTTGTTTTGTTGTAGTACGGAGTTAGACTGATGGCCTTAATCTAAAGTTTTCTTGTGGTTGTTGTTGTTGTTGTTTGACTTTGCATCCCACTGGGATTTTTTGCACACAGCGTTGGTGTATGGTGCTTTTTTCAGGATTATTTTGCTGTTTTTTTTCATGGATTTTCTGTTTGCACAGTCACACATAGTCACTTTAAGATGTTTTTCTTGTTCGTGTTTTTATTTTTTTGTTTGTTGTGGTTGCACCCGATTCAAGAGCCGAATGGCTCACAGGGCTATACCAAAATAAATAAACTGAAACTGAAAAATCATCGTCTAGATTGACAAACTCATTTCTTTAGGACAGTTTTTTTCTGTGTCTTTAGTCTGTTGTCCTTTCCTCGCACATTCAAATTATCACAGTTGGCGACGTACGGTGTGAATGAAGTTCAACACACACACTCCCTGTATGGTGGCCTACCACACAAACTAATCAGTCGCCTACAACTACGACAGAATGCAGCTGCTAGAGCCCTGCCCAATAAGCATCGGTGGGAAGACTTCTCCCCGACGCTGATAGATCTGCATTGGTTGCCGGTGTGAGACTGGGGTAAGGGGTGAGTCCGGGGTGAGGCCGGGGTGAGTCCGGGGTGAGTCCGGGGTGAGTGAGTCTGGGTGAGTCCGGTGTGAGTCCGGTGTGAGTCCGGTGTGAGTCCGGGGTGAATCCGGGGTGAATCCGGGGTGAATCCGGGGTGAATCCGGGGTGGTCCGGTGTGAATCCGGGGTGAATCCGGGGTGAGTCCGGGGTGAATCCGGGGTGAATCCGGGGTGAGTCCGGGGTGAATCCGGGGTGAATCCGGGGTGAGTCTGGAGTGAGTCCGGTGTGAGTCCGGAGTGAGTCCGGTGTGAGTCTGGTGTGAGTCCGGGGTGAGTCCGGGGTGAGTGAGTCTGGGTGAGTCCGGTGTGAGTCCGGTGTGAGTCCGGTGTGAGTCCGGGGTGAGTCCGGTGTGAGTCCGGTGTGAGTCCGGGGTGAGTGAGTCTGGGTGAATCCGGGGTGAATCCGGGGTGAGTCTGGAGTGAGTCTGGTGTGAGTCCGGGGTGAGTCCGGGGTGAGTCCGGGGTGAGTGAGTCTGGGTGAGTCCGGTGTGAGTCCGGTGTGAGTCCGGTGTGAGTCCGGAGTGAGTCCGGGGTGAATCCGGGGTGAATCCGGGGTGAGTCTGGAGTGAGTCCGGAGTGAGTCCGGTGTGAGTCCGGGGTGAGTCCGGGGTGAGTGAGTCTGGGTGAGTCCGGTGTGAGTCCGGTGTGAGTCCGGTGTGAGTCCGGGGTGAGTCCGGTGTGAGTCCGCGGTGAGTCCGCGGTGAGTCCGCGGTGAGTCCAGGGTGAGTCTGGAGTGAGTCTGGTGTGAGTGAGTCCGGTGTGAGTCCGGTGTGAGTCCGGTGTGAGTCTGGAGTGAGTCCGGTGTGAGTCCGGGGTGAGTCCGCGGTGAGTCCGCGGTGAGTCCAGGGTGAGTCCGGTGTGAGTTTGGTGTGAGTGAGTCCGGTGTGAGTCCGGTGTGAGTCCGGTGTGAGTCTGGAGTGAGTCCAGTGTGAGTCCGGGGTGAGTGAGTCCGGTGTGAGTCCGGTGTGAGTTTGGTGTGAGTGAGTCCGGTGTGAGTCCGGTGTGAGTCCGGTGTGAGTCTGGAGTGAGTCCGGGGTGAGTCCGGTGTGAGTGAGTCCGGTGTGAGTCCGGTGTGAGTCCGGTGTGAGTCCGGTGTGACAGCTGCCGCTGTGGCGGCGTGACGCCGGTGTGCCAGGTGGACCGCACGGAGGTGATGCGCAGCACGCTCAACCCCGTGTTCGCCAAGGTGTTCACGCTCGACTACTCATTCGAGGAGGTGCAGCGCCTCCGCTTCGAGGTCTACGACGTCAGCTCGCGGCACGGCCCGCGAGACGAGGACCTCCTGGGGGCCACCGACACCACCCTGGGGCAGGTGAGCCTGGGTGAGTGGAGGGGGTGGGTGGGGTGGATGAGTGTGGGTGGGGCAGGGGAGTGTGGGTGGGGCAGGACAGGTGAGTGTGGGTGGGAGGGGCAGGTCAGTGTGGGTGGGAGGGGCAGGTGAATGTGGATGGGTCGGTGGGTCAGGTGAGTGTGGGTGGGGTGGATGAGTGTGGGTGGGTGGGGCAGGGGAGTGTGGGTGGGGCAGGTGAGTGTGGGTGGGTGGGGCAGGTGAGTGTGGGTGGGTGGGTCAGGTCAGTGTGGGTGGGTGGGTGGGGCAGGTGAGTGTGGGTAGGGCAGGTGAATGTGGGTGGGGCAGGTGAATGTTGGTGGGTGCGGCCGGTGAGTGCGGGTGAGTGTGGGTGGGTGGGGCAGGTGAGTGTGGGTGGGTGGGTCAGGTGAGTGTGGGTGGGTAGGACAGGTAAGTGTGGGTGGGGCAGGTGAATGTGGGTGGGTGGGTCAGGTGAGTGTGGGTGGGTAGGACAGGTAAGTGTGGGTGGGGCAGGTGAATGTGGGTGGGTGGGTCAGGTGAGTGTGGGTGGGTGGGTCAGGTGAGTGTGGGTGGGTGTGTCAGGTGAGAGGCGTCTTGTGGTGCCACACAGATCGTGTCTCAGCGCAAGTTGATCCGCGCCCTGCAGCTCAAGCAGAGGAAGTACGCAGTGAAGCCGACCATCACGGTACGGAACCCTGACACCCACACAAAGACTGAGACCCCCCGTGTAACCTACACAAGCTGTTGGGGCAAGTGCTGTCAGCGAGGAGCGCCTATGTAGGCCGGCACTGTGGCACGCGAGTGGGTGGGTGGACGGCACAGCGCCCGGCCGCCTTTGTCTCCCTCGTGGCGATGTTTACTACACACCGCACCAGGGTACTCATTTGAGGCTGAGTCGACCTAGGGGAGGCCCATGACCGGTTCAAATAGTCGTCACCGGTGCTGGCCGTGCGCGGGAATCGAACTCGGATCGCCGGGTTCGTAGCGCAGCGCTGACCGCTAACCGCTACACCGCCGCTCTCCGCGTGACGAAGTAAAGCTAAAGATCCCCCCTATAGAACTTGAACAGACTGTTGGGGGCAAGTGCTGCTGTTAGGGAGCACCCGCGAAGGCCGGTGGCCTGCACCACGCCGTTAGACATCCGCGCTCTACGGAACAGGAGGAGAGGCCACGCAACCTCCACATAACAGAACCTCGGCCCGAGTCGGGGATCGAACCCAGGCTCACCCCTCGTTTGCTGTTGCAGCCCGGGTGTGTGCGTGCGTGTCTCACCAGTGTCCATGATCAGGCGTGGGCAACTACAATAACAAGAATAGCCATTGTACTCGAATTCGGTACAACGATAACAACAACAACAACAAAAACTACAATAACAAGAATAGCCATTGTACTCGAATTCGGTACAACAACAACAACAAAAACTACAATAACAAGAATAGCCATTGTACTCGAATTCGGTACAACAATAACAACAACAACAACAAAAACAAGAATAGCCATTGTACTCGAATTCGGTACAACAATAACAACAACAAAACTACAATAACAAGAATAGCCATTGTACTCGAATTCGGTACAACAATAACAACA